TTTTCAGTAAAAGTAATGTTTTGAAATAATTTACATGGATTCCCCACCTTTTAAAAGTGTGTATCTTTAACTCTCAGGGCATTCCTCATCATTCTTGAGATCAGCAAATATGAAGACTACTGAATCACAATCTGTTACCATCAGAAAGTTTATATATTCAGCTATGTTCTGAATGTCACTAGATAGTAACTACAACAAACTTTACCTGAACTCTGTTAAGAATTTTAAAATTAACAATTTTAACCTGGGTCATTTGTTACTCATAACTGATGCACAGAATAAAACAATTTCCAGTAACTGCTTAATGCGCTACTGGAAGGCACCCAGACACTACACTGGTGTGACCACAAAATAGAAGTATTTCTTTTAAAAGGCATTTCCACATTTACATACCTATTTTGGTTTATATTTACCCTGGGCCCCATTTTTAACAAAACATGCACCCATAAATCCTAAAACCCTTGAATAGATGAACAACGGTAATATATAGATTGTTCAAATGGAAGCTTTATTCAGTATTTTCATATAAACTGCACTTCAAGAGCTTGTGATATTTTGTAATTGCAACTGAGAAGCTGTTAAAGAGAAACCAGCTGTTTAAGTTTGCAGACAATGCTTACGGACTAAAACACGCACTTTTCAATCACCCCACTGTTCTTCACTATATCTTCAGTTAAGCAAGCCATTAAAATCCACCGTCTTCAGCCCGTGGTCTATATAATGCTGTCTGCTGGTTTTTAACGTATGCTATTTCTGCTTTTACAAGTAAAATCAAATCTGCATTTGCTGACATTCTTTGGGAATCCTCTTGGGCAAATTTAGCCTTTTTCAGCTTATTATTTGCAACACTTTTTGCTTTGTACAGAAACTTTTATTCAAGCTATATCCCGAAACATTTCACAAAGCTAGATTTGTTAATCACACAAACAGTTAACATGATCTCTAAGTTAAATTATTTAGCAGGTAGAAGGTAAGAGGACTTAAGAGGTAGATACAAGAGAGACTGAAGAGATATGGCTGACAAAATGGAACCAAAGGGTTGCCGCAGCAGATAGCAGAAGGCATACAGACAGCTTTTGTACCAACAAACGAAAGGATTTAAGGGCTGCAAACCCCGTAGGAGGAATGGAATGAAATCTGGCTCAGGAAAACAAATTACCAAGAAAATTAAAAAGAGCACATGTAGTCGGTCTTGAAATAACTTGCGTGGTGTTTGAAAATAGGTAAGGTTTTACTTCTTCAGGGCATGACACAAACAGGCAGCAGAAGTGCTCAGCATAAGCTGGGATCTGGAGACATGGTGGCCTACATAAGACAACATGAAGCTTTCCGAAGATCTCGGTAGAGCAGGTGATAAGGTGAAGGTGGACGCTAGAAATGCGGCACAGCGGTGATATGTAGGTTTGCATATATAGGAATGCTGGAGGAAGACGGTTTGAGGAAGACACCAATAATAAGGAAAGTACTAAAAAGGGGAGGCACAACTCAAAAAGCAAATCAAGGAAACCAAGCAGCATGAAATAGTTTTTTACTCCCTTTCTGAGATGCCAAAATATGCACTGAAATAACATCCTTGGGGGGGGGGAAGGAGAAATGTTTTTATACATGCACAGGTTAGTGAACTTAACTCGGATCCATGCCATGACCAACCCTCCCACCTTCTAAATCTGAGTATTGGGATTGGATGATGCTGCAGCACAGATTTTGTCTACGAGGGTCAAACAAAAAACAAACTTTACCCTATTGGGAAAGTCTGGATTTCAATCTACAAATTCCCAGGTGAAGGGTTAAAATTTGGCTTAGCCTAAATAGGAACAAGGATTATTTTATAACCTGGGTTAAATTCAGCAGGTCTCTGCACAGCTCCTGGCATAACAAATGCCCAACAAAATCATTTTCTTTCTTAGTATATGCAATATGTTTGCTTCTAAAAGCATCACCAACTTCAGGCAGGCCCTACTGTAAAAACACGCACCCCAAAGATAGCATCCTGTACTGTGAAGCTCTTTCTAAACAGACGAGACAGGTGAAAGATGAGGCAAGGAAACAAAAATACAGAGCAGTGAATTGACTTGCTCAAAATCACACAGAAGAAATCATCAGAAATGGCAATGACTCTGCCTTTCTCTCCAACTCTCCTTCGCATATTGCTAATGATGTCCATGACAGCCTACAGAACCAAGGACATAGTCCTCACTCAAGTAGCTTCCAATAAAAGCAGGCAAGGAGATAAGAACATGCTGCATGATAGAACATGGATTACTCAGAAAACAAAACACTCCTCTTCTGAAAACACTGCTCTTCTGAAACAGTAAAAGGAACATTCCTTTGTCAAAAGCCAGTGCAGCCCAAGGAAGGATTAGCAGATGAGGAGCGTAACTGTGGTAATACCTAAAGGACTCCTACGGCAAATGCCAAAAGCAGATGATTTTGCAGGGAGATAGCACAGAAGGGAGAGAGATCTGTGCAGAACAGATGTACTGGAGAAGCAGCGTCTGCCTTAAATCTCACACAAGACAGTATTTTTGTATAGAACAGAAAATATTTGGTTTAGATACACAATAAGGAAATCTAATGACAGCATGGTGCAAAATTAAACAGTGGCTTTGGATATATCAAATTTGATTCAACTGGCCCTTACTGTAATTTTCTTTAAGGACAAAGAATAAACTGGTCTCTCCTCAAACTGACTTTCAGAGGTAGTGGGGAGCGAAGCGCTGCATTTCCTTGTGAAATGCAGGCTTTAGAAGTCACATCAGCAAAAGCAAGCGTATGGTATTTAAAGCAACTTTACTAGCAGTGAACAAAGAAAACATTTAATCTTTTTTCATGATGTAAATACTTATTTTGGTTTGTCTGTTAAACACAGTACTTGACATAGATCTTTGGTTCATATTACAACTAACAGCAGCTCCTCAAAGAAACAAGTTTTGAACACTTTTATTTTCAGACGTTTTTAAACATCTGCTTGAGCAATTTAGTTACCGGTATCTTAAATCACTGCCTATGACCACTTCAATGTGACAGAACATTTTTAAGGAAAGATGAGCTCACTAGAAGAGGAAAGATATCCTCCTCAGAGGATATTAAAAGTGGACCTACAAGAAAAACTATACTACTGTATAAAACTGTACTAATAAACAATAAAATAATTTTACAGAGATCATAAAATAATGAATATACTTTAGGCTTGGAGTAACAGAAACAGCATGAGTACAGCAACACAAAACAAATTTGTAAGAAAAAAAAATTGTGCTTGAAAGGAAAGCATGATCAGCTGTTAACTCAGCAGTTGGCAATGGCAAAGGAGCAGAAAGAGCTAGTTGTACTGGTAAATCACAGGGCACCCACGGCAGACAGCATGATGCAGTCATGTGAAAGGCAAATGTGGTTTAGGGACGTATCAAAAGTTATTTCCAATATGCTAAGGAAGTGTTAGTGACATCACGTGTGGCCTGAATCTTCCCTGAACATAGAGCCTAGGCAAACTCAGGCTGGAATGGATGAAGAGAAGTGCTGGTGGAGCACTGAAGGTCCTGGCACACAAGGACGCTTTATGTGATTCAGAAAAGATGCGATGGATTCAAGAGGAAGAAAAGCTACTTAGCTGAAGGGCAATACTTGTGTGAGTTGGGAGGAAATGAGTGTAAACTGGTCGCAAACACTCGGAGGCTTCAAGATAGAGCATCCTAGCTGCTGAAGTAATGTTCAAATAAGAGTAAGAACAAACCCTGAAAAATCTGCTTTTTAAGAAACCTGACAACCTCTCCTCGGTAGAAAGGACATTTCTGTTCTAGCCTTGCATGGGAGGTCTTTCATGCAGAGCACATGTTGTACATTCCTGCATCTATGACTGTGAGAGCATCCAGCACACATCTTGCATCTCTAAATGACAATCCAGGGCTAGATATTACAGGAAACTTTAAAATTTCTCAAAACAACCATCGGAAGAAATACAACAATCCTGATGAAGGCAAAGAAACACAACAATCCTGATGAAGGCAAAGAAACACATGGGATGAAATACAATACTTAATTCTCTTCTACACACAAAGAAAATGTCACAGAATAGAAAAAAGGACTTCAGCTTCCTTTGTAATACATCACAAACCAGATTTCCTGTCTTGTACTCCTTTCTCCACTGATCTGACAAATTAACAGTCGTTTTCTCAATGAAGTTCAAGCTCAGCAGTTACCAACTCTATTTTGCTGTAGCTGGACTCTGACAACTGTCTTAACTACACCCTCTGTTTTTGACTGAGACTCACTTGAACAAAACTGTGAGCTTTAGAAATAGAGACATATTTTTTAATGGATTCACGATTTGAACCCTTATGGTCCACTGTTTGATACCTAGAGAAGCAGTAAGCGTAGCTGTATTCTTACGCAGCCAGTGAATCTTATGATGCTAAATGCAGACCAATCCCACCATGTGAAGAAACCAAATCTACAATCCCTAAGAAAATGTCCAAGCCATCTTGGACAGTACAGCCATCAGCTCTACTTATCCGTCTTTTGTCTTCCTCTCCTATGGTACTGAGAACAATGAAGCTTCATACACTTAGCCCCTCTGTTAGTTTTGCGAAAACTGCAACTATTCAATGCACTCCTTTTATCAACAGACAACACCCATCAGCCTCAAAAAGGGTGGTGTATGCTGTAGCAGGGCCAGGTCTTCGGAATATTTTTTTCATTAAAATATCGGGCAATTTTTTTTTTACAGGGAAAAAAACAAGACCAAAAAAAGAAAACTCAATGTGTAAAAAGAAAGAAAAATTCAAGTAGAGACAATAATAAAGCAAAACACAACAGGAAGACACCACAGAACTATCTACTCCAACAGGGGTGGCTCTGGTGCTGTTATTAAAAGTTAAGATTCAACAGGTTTAAATCTTCTGCAGAGGTTTAGTACATTTATCATGCACGTACACAAATAATTTCTTGCAGAACGTTATTTGAAATGAGTGGCACTGATGTGACTAATTCCTCTAAAAACAGCTTTCAAAAGATCTATTTGAAATGTTGGCACTCTCACCACCTACTCTTTTGCAAGTGATTAGCCAAAGGTTAGGAAGCACAATATTTTTACTCATTAGCTGGGAAACTACTCCACACAAACAATCTTGGGGGATGATTTTACTCTCTAGTACATGCCATTGATCCAGTTCCTCTGTAAAAATAAAAGGTCTGCATAATTTTTGCCAGATTAAGGATTACTACATTCTCCCATACTTAGAAAAGGAGTAAAAAACCTTACACAATGTATTTAAAACAGCATACGTAGAGCAAATTGAACTTAGATGGCATGGTTAAAATAAAAAATAAATGTATTTACAATATTGCATAAGTAATATAACACAAATCTCCATTCCAAAATCAATCACATCAAAATAAAATAAAAAAATATTACAACTCACATGTTTTAATACCTATAAATCCTTAAGTTCTATCCAACATTTTCTTTATAAAAGCCTGTTTAAAATATTAAACTTTTGATTCACTCTAGCTTAAACAGAATCTAAAATGATTTGTTAAGTATTACTGATCACTTAGTCTTTGTCTTAAGTTTCTAGATTTTCCATTTTCAAATTTCCTCTTTTTGAATGTTGGCACCCCTTCTGTCAGGTCTCCAAGGGAGGTGACTGTCTTCTCTTTAAATATCACTGTCGCATCTTCTGGAACCTCTAGCACTGGAGGTGGTAGACTGTCACTCTCTGTACTAGGAAGCTCCAGGTCCACTTTTTCACTGGGAGAAGAGAGGAAAACATAAAAGGATTAATCTACATGGAGAAAACAACATGGTGTACTGCAGACAGTAACATCCATATTTAATTGTCAAAGCAGCTTTGAGCTAGATGCAGTCTTCCAGCCAAGATCATCACCATGACAGGGATCAAGAAAAAAAAACCATGTTCTTTGTTTCTTCTGTGTGCACTGGTATGAAAAGTAAAAAACTAAGACTTCATTCTCTACAGAGCTTATACTATGGCCCAAGCACTCATCATGTAAATAGTCCTGTAAAGGACAACAGGGCTGCATGTGTGTAAATCTAAGACTGTTGAAAGGCAGTAGTCAGTGAGTAATTAGCAATGGTTCACTGCCAAAATGCTATTGAGTAGTTTTCCGCAGGTGTCCATCCTTGAGGGTCTGCATGACAGAACAGAGAACAGGCTTACGAAATCAGCCAGTGACCCCAAGTTGGGAGAAGCAGCTCTGGAGGACAGGATCACAGCTAATACCGATCTGAACAAATCAAAGATATCGTCTAAAAATGACCGATCAGTTTTAGGAGGTCAACAGCAAAACACTGTGTTCTACAAGAATAACCTGCGGCGCAAACATTCGACGGAGAACAACTGAACAGTTCGCAGAAAAGGATCTAAATCACAAGTCCATCAGGAATCACACCAGCACAACACTACTGCAAAGAGATACACATTGTATTCCTCGCCAATCCATACAAGAAATCTTTCAGTCCTACTGAGTGTTAGTCTGATGTCAGCTCGTGTACTTATACCTATACTAGTTTCAGGTCCTATGCTTCAAGGAAGGCATGGATCAGCTGAAGCACCAAAAAAAGAGCCATGAGAATGACTGCAAGTCAAGAAAATGCGACTGTTGCAGTATCCCTAAAATGTAAACTTCCTGAAAGTGGCTGGCACTCTGCCTAGTCTCAATTTGAAGTAAATAATGAACAACTGCATTTGTCTCATTTACATGTGTGTATATATCAAGCTTGTGATATATAAGGTTCAACAGCTGAAAGCACTTTTTATTGGACCATGCTTTCCAAAAACCTGAAAGAATTTATCAGCTCTGGAGTCAAGGAGCGGCTAGCTGGTCCGATTCAGGAGGCGTTACGTGAACTGAACAAGTGACATCTCCAAGGAAGTGTATCAGTGCTTAATTTAGTTCCAACAGTGTCAAAACTGTATCTGCTGAATAATTTAGAACTAAAATGCTGGAGAATGGGGTGAGTATGAGGAAAAGACTGATTTCATTCTCCCAAACCTAATTTTTCCAGACTCCTAGAGGGCCCCATAACAAGAAACTGGCCATAAAAGACAGCATGCTTCACAAGAAAATGAGCCATCTCGGGCATTATGCAGTAAAACGAAACAAAAAAACCCCTCCTCATCAGATGCATGTCATGAAAACATCTGCAGTACATCTGTTGGACATGGGAGAGAGAGACAGCTTCCAGATTTAAAATTGGCATAACTAGATTACACATGTTTTGTCTTTCATCTCCTTATTTAAATCATTACAGAAAGCGTCTCCCACCACATTATGAGAGCCTCCAGGATTTACCCATAGTGAAGGTAGAAGAGGTTGTAGTGGATTTTGTTTTGTCTTTGCTTAACTTTGTTTTAAAATGAGGGAAATTAGGGAACAAGAAAACACGGTTCAACCAGAAGTCTTTTACTGGGTGAAAATAAGACAAAAAATTTGAAGTGTCTTTTAGGCTGTGTCCTTCAAGTGAACAGTTGAAGTCAGTACAACACCACAAAGTGAGAAATAATTCACTGCTTGTGGAAGTAACTCAGCCAAACATACCGGGCTTAGGTAGAAATTGCTTGGAGTCTAAAAAAGCACACTCATTATGTCAGCAACTATTGATCCCCCAGGGAAGGGATTCAAAGCAATGCTAACCCAGTATGATCAAGATCAGGTTGCTGCTGGCCCTTGAAGATCAAGATAGATCTTGAACCCCAGGCAGAGTTAGCCCAACTAATTACTCATGAGCAAGAAACAGAATTTAGCCTGGAAGCTAGAGGCCCTGAGAAAGCTGCCTGTGCTGTTCCAAGGCTGGAAGCAGTTGCAAAAACAGTCACAAAAGCTCCTCAGGCAGCTGAACCAGATTGTTGAAGGAGACGATGTTAAGGAACATAAGCTTAGAGTAACTACATTTAAACAGTTGATACTCAGACTCTGAGAAAAATGATGGATGATAATGATCCTTTAAATCACTAAATTATTTTGTACTCATGGTGAACTTCTACACTAAAACCAAAACACCACCACTATCTGCCACAGAGAGCTATTACTTAAAATAATCACTGCAGAAAGAATTGTATTTGGGCTACGGTTCCAATCACTGCTGTGCTAATTCTGCCAGAAGTCAGCAGAAAAAGCTTCAGCTCTGAAATCAAGTATTCTGGAAACAAATATTATGAAAATAACTATGGTAAAAAGATCCTCACCATGGTTGTTCTTCTTCTTCTTCTTCTTCTTTTTCCTTAATTGCTTTCCATTTTCCATAAGGGTTGGTCTTGTTAGGTGCATCACTGGAGGTTTCTTGGGAAGCTGACGTACTCTCCTCTTTATCAACAGTTTCTTCTGGCTTAACTTCTCGCCATTTCCCATACGGACTTAACTTTTTAGCTTTGGGAGATTTTTTCCCTTCCTCTGATCCTTCAACATTATCTCCTTTCCTCTAAAGAGGAAAAAACCCACCTTAAGCAAAAATGCCTAAATAAAAACACAATGTAGCTTTATTTTACATCTTTTATTTACTATTATCTACTATTCATACTTTTCAACCAAGAGTAACTTGAAACAATAAACTCATACTGTAATAAAATCTTCACATTTCTCTCCTTGAGCTTTCATCACATACAGAGTTGAAAACAAAGGTTAAATGTTATAAAAAGTTAAAGTTGGAAAATCCCATCTATCAAGGCTGAAGTTAGCAAGGAGCAGCCAATACAAACTTACTTAAAAAAAAGCTTAGCATGTTTTAAAAAAAAGAAAAAATTCACATAGAGCTTTCTGTGCGTGCAGATACAGACACTTTTCAGCTCATACCTAGTAGTAGTTTATAATGATGCACAGTGATACAAAAATATATATTTTAGAAATAACACCTGTCTGTGAATACATTTTGTATTTAAACTGTCTCTGCCTATTCTGAACTACCAGTTTCAGAAAAACCATCTGACCCAACCAGAGCCATAATCACACCCTTTATCTTAAGTTTTAAATCTGAAGACAAAACCATATAATTGATACAGGTTTTGTACTATGTGCTGCGAATGTTCTTCTCAATTAATAAGGAAACTACAGCCATGTAATTTTCAAAGGCATTCCCTGAAGGTCTCTCAGCAGTCACATTTACCAATGAAGTCATATCCTCACACTGAAATCCAGATAATTTTGTGGATTATTTCAGAGAGATGACAGTGATCTTTCTCAGAGAACATCACATTTCTTGCAGAATTCAATCTACTTCTGGTGGGCTGATCATGCTTTTTATTCTGCAACAGTGCCACTAATGGGCCAAATAATTGAATAAAGATTCATTTTACTATTCAAACAAGTGCAAACTTCTACTTTCAGTCATATGGTTTAACCTCATTACAATGAGTACAGCCTATCACAAGAGATAAAAGATAAATCGTCTTATATGTTAGAAAATTAATACTATATGTAAAATAAATCCAAAGAGAGAACTTACCTTGAAATTTGTTTCTGAACTCCGTGCTTCATTCTCACTATCTTCCGAGTCTGATTCAGATGCTTTGGAATCTGTTTCTGCAAGCTCTTCAGAATGCTTGTCACGTTGACTCTTTTCATTTGAAGATGAAACAAAACCATCTGGTTTCTCCCATGTGGATACTGTTCAGGATATTTGAATACCACATTATTTATGTTTCTACAAGATATTTGAATAACCACATTATTTATGTTTCTAATTCTGATCTGTTACTGCTTTAACGTTACTTTTCAGAAGCAGTGCTGCCTCATGCAAAAATACAGCAAATAATTTAGCACAAGGCTTTTGCCTTTGTTCAGTATGTTTGTTTTAATAAACATAATCAGAAAGGTAACATTTCACTTCTCAGCAGAGATACTGTCATGACAGCTGAGTTCACTGTTGATAAAGCTTGTTGTAATTAGTGCTTAAGAAGGATATCACGCACGGCGAACTGCAGCCCACAAGACTTGGTCCCTCTCATCCTAACACAGGACAGAAAAATTGCCCTCTAGAGGTGCCTATTTGATTTGAATTATCCGTTGATTACAAAGAGAGGATACGGTAAAGAACACTAACTGCGAGCCTCAGCTCTCTGGGCAGATAAACCCCTTTCCATGTGCCGCTTGGCTTGGTAAGATTAGATCTCTAATTAAAGAGATCTTGTTAAGTCAACAATTAAATATAAACATCATTCTGAAAAGACATGAAAGTATGTATCTACAGGATATGACCTCATTTTCAATGAGCAAATATATTGAGAGGAACTATTTAAATAAAAGTTGACTCAATGGTCTTAAAACTGCTTTTAGTAACAATAAGGCAAAAGTACACCAACTTTCAATCTATAATTTTATTTAAGCTTTCAAATGGGATAAAACTACTATTTTTCCAATTATTTTATCTATTTCCAAAGAAATCCCTAACTGAAAACAACATTTAACAGGTATGCTTCTAGATGTATCTTGAAGAAGTAAAGGTGTAAGAAACTGGCAATGAGTGGCTCTGAATGAACAAAACAGTCTCTTAAGGGTACTGCTGTCATGTAGCTTTAGACCAGTAACTGAGAAAGTTCACTTTCCTAGGTGTCACATATAGCCAGTGGAGATAAGGTGCAGCCTCCCAAAGTATGACTCGTAGCAGGAGCTAAGCCTAGAGATACCGGCCTCTTAAGTTACATGCTTCAGATGAGACACTATGATCAGTCCCCTCGGTTAACAATTTGTCTTGTCTTCAGAGGATGGGATTAGCATTAACAGAACTGACAAGTAATTTTCAAGCATTTCCAAGATACTTGCAGCTATATAAAAGTAAGGGATCGCTTTAAAATCTCACAAGCCAAAATTTTATCAAATACAATGATTACAAAGATATTCTTCATGAATGTCAGGTGTCCATGAAGAACGTTAAAAAACAATACAACCAAAGGCATAAAATGTATCTGAACTTAGAAGGCAATGTTTAAAAATAACCAGCATCTCATTTCCCTTTCAAAAGAAAAAAATCGCAAATCATTTGAGCAGGGGAGCCGCATGCTGAAAAACTGAAAGATTTTGGGTTTTTTTTTTTTTCCTATTCTTGGCATCGTCAGGAACGCCACTTCATACCCAACAGCAGAAGGAAAACTCATAGCCAGCATAAAATCACTTGCTCTCCAGAGTCACTGTTGACCTTAAAATGATTCAAACAGACTTAGAAAACAGATGCCTGCTCTGGGGGAGTTACCACAAAGTTCCCCGGGTAGGGAAAAAACCAGGGAAAAGAAGTAGGAGGTAAGATTCTGGACTCTCTTATAAACACTATGTCAGCAAGAGGAAAAGTTTAGGAGATTCTTATTCAGTCCTACATAGCTGTCACAACAAAATCCTGCCCGTTTCTGGTTTCCAAACTATAATTTCATTATATACATAGAAAAGAAAAACCTGTATTTTAGACTTCTAAGTTGAATGTCTAAAAAAATGTATGAAGCACAAATGCATACACACTGACAATACAGCTATAAAGCCAACATTGACTTAAGCAACAAGGTAACAGCTTAAAAAATACAAAACTTAGTAATGGCCTTAAAATGCAGTTATCTGCAAAATAAAATGCTGCTCTGAAAACTCTCTCTTCTGAAACAGAGCTTAACTGGAAAATAAGCTCTCCTTACCTCCTGTTTCTGTGTTATAGTAATAGGTATGACCATCTTCAGTGACACCTTCTACCCACTTCGCTGCCTGAGAAAAAGGTACAAGAGCTAATTAAAAAAGAGAGTTTTAAGGATCAGCCAAAGTATCACGTATAAGACTATTCAACCCTTGAGTATTTTTTGTTCATCATAATTTTACTGTTTTAAAGCTTGAACCCCTAAATTTGTTAGAAAGTATTCCCTTTGACTCAAATGAGATTGAATTGCTTAACTTAAAAGTACCGCAAATGCACATAGACAATTTTTTCAAACAGTGGATAATTAGTATAAGGCAGTATGGTAAAGGTTGCCATACAGTTCAAATTATGATAAAAGCCATGAAGGCCATTATTTTACATGTTTTTTATTTTCTAAGTAGTAGAACAATGAAGTTGACATTTCCTGGTTTTGTCATTGTCTTAAGTAGAGACCAAGAAAAAATTTCTCTGGAAGACTCAGGGTTTTGTGAGGGCTATAGAAAAACATTACCAATAAATACTATCACAAATTAAACATAAGCAAACAAACCCAAAATTTCTAAAATTTATTCCAAAATAGATCTTCACCAAAAATACTGAAGAAGCAAACTTTGCAGGAATAACTTATTTAGGAAAGCACCCATTTCAACAAAGCACTGTTTTTCCCTGCTAATTAATAAATACATATGACATGCAGCAGAAGTTGCTGGTATGTCTTTGTGGATGTGTAATTAAAATAAAGATGTTTTGCAGAATCAGCCACAGCTAGATAATCAGTCTTTACACGTGACTTAACATCTTCCTTATGAACCTGATTTAATCAACACTTACACATATGCTACTTCACTGCTCCTTAAGTACTAATACTGCGCATTCCCCTGTACTGGGCAGAACTTCTATGCAGCTTCACCATTCATGATTTTTGCATTAATAAATGTCTCTATGCGTACACATATACACACACACCCCTAGATAGGCTTTTGTACACAAATACCTATGCATTTGCTTAATACTCTATTAAAACTTTGGTTTTTTTTTAAAACACAACAAAATCAGGAGTTGAAGTTCTCACACCTGCTCTGTAGAAAGCTATATATGAAACAGAAAAATTGTATCAGTAGGTTCAGAGCAGGCAAAAAGCAAGAAAGCCTTCAGCGAGCAAGTTTCCTCAAGGTTTTGCTCTCAGAAGTTTCAGTGTGCTAGTTTCAACAAAAGAAGCGGAAGGAAATTTTATTTTATGTAAGTAGAAAGAGGACAAAAGACTAGTCGTAAGTACAACCTATCCTTTTTGTTTGAGTTAGATCCTGAACATTTTAGACCTGGTTCTTACGAGGTTTTCAGCAGATATTTGACATTAGGCACGCCAAGTATTCTACTACATAAATGCTAACATGCATGATGTCAGTCTAACTGAAGTTGTAGGTAGTCTTCAACACGCCTTTTCATTACTCTTTTCTACACCTCTTACGAAGTCTGAGCAGCAAGCTAGCGTGCTCTGAATCAAGGAGGGCCTTTGAATCTCACTTGCACTACTTATTGCAAGCACGCTCTTTAATTTCTGGGCAGTACGAGTCCTTGTTAGAGATCTGGAATGTTCCCAATATCTTTAGCTTAGACTAAATAAGGGAGCAATCGAATGCTTGTTTTTAGCAATGGCGAAAATAACTCAAGACACCACAAAGTCACCAAGCAGGGTGAGGGAGGAATGGCAAAATACGGCCATGTGGCATTAGAGAGATATCCGAGGCTGAAGGTGTGTGTTTATGATATAGCTGAGATGAGCTAACTTCAAATTGTTGCCAAGAAGGGAGCTCCTTCTCTCCTCCGCACTGGCATTTTTCTGATTACCCAAAGAGCAGATGCAAGGGCATAAGCCTACAAAGCACTAACCTAAACTCTGATGTCTTCACTCCCTGAACTCGTTCGCTGGCAGGGCAAATACGCACCAAGGACTATACAAGATTAGTCACAGGACCACCTCTTTCAGTGGAAGGCTACAGTAAGACTGGCTTATAAATATTGCAAAGCTACTCCTTGACCGAAAAGATAAAGTTGAAGTTGTGCAAAACTTGGAATCAGAAAGCCAGAGTAGCATGTGATGGGCAGTCTCTTGGGAATGAACACTGGATGGAAAAAGCCTGCATTTTTGAGATAAAACACTGCCTTAACAAGAGATGGATTACAGACAAAACTTCATGAACATTTTATGAATTGATTCATTTGCCTAAAAATATACACAATTATAACCATTTTCTCCTCTGACTGTAAGTAACCCAGTACCAAGCATAGGTTACCTTCTAAGATGTGACAATACAGAGCTACAGAATGTCAAGCACTCTGAAAAAGCCAGGCTTTTTTGATCTAACATAAAATCCAACATTAGCAAACAACACTGACTTTAAATCATAGTGTACCTGTGACACCTATCTTGAAAATGGGGAAACATAGCATCACGTCATGGGGTGTTGTGAAAATCCTATTTTTAATGTTGTGAAGTACAAAAATCTGGAGTGTTAAGTATCAGGGGAAAGCCCATTAATAATAATAATAAATCTTTCTGTCTTTGGACTATTCTGCAAGTTTTTCGGTGCCTTAAATAAGGAAAATAAAGTAATATTCTAAAAGGTTGCTTGCATATAGGTTCCATGACCGTAAGAAAACCATGAAAAAGACAAATTATCACATAACCGTATCCTAAAGCAAACACAAAAAATAGGCACTCTTTTTTTTTTTTTTACTATCGGACAATGCAATCTTAATGTTTCCTAAGATAAAGGAGTCTTAACTATTTTAAATGTTTTAAAATGTTTTAAAAGTTTTAATTTTTTAAATTACATTTAATTCACAAAAGGTTGAACAGGATTTATCCAGAATTTCCCAAACACTTTCAATTTTATGGGCTGAAGCATCAAAAAGCATATTCTGTAAAAACACAACCACCACTATCACCTCTTTTCCCTTGATAAACAAATTAGACAAAAAAGATTTGTATAGCAAAATTTCACTTTTCATCAAGTATATCATAAACTATTCTATATATTCAAATTATGTTTTCCTAAGTTTACTAAGAGCAAACAATTTATCTTCTGCAATCAGGAGACTTGCAAATTGCTTAGCTTATTTCTGATAAGTGTTTACAAGGACAAAGAAAAGTATGAATAACAGTATTTGATTACCGTTTGTGAGTTTTGAGAGTTGCCTTGGAATCCTTTAGGTTTCTCCCACTGTGATTCTTAAAAAACAAAAACATATTTCACCCATCATTCAATCCTGTTTATGTTTAGTAATATTTAGAAAAAACAGATCTAAAGGGTATGACACTGATGTGTGCACATATACAAACAAGTAATATAGATACACCTCATTGGAATATAAATCATCCTTGATCAAATTGTGGTAGGAACAATAAACCGAAGTATCATAATTACAGTTGGCTTTACCGGGACTAACCACCTTCCAGACTATGGCTGATACACAGGTACTGGAATTTTGATACAAAAAAGCTGTGTGTTTTTTAAATGGTAGCATAGGCCAGGAAACTAAACACACAAGATTTTTACCTTTTGGAAGTTATCTTGTATGAGGAAAGACTACAGTAAATACTAATGTCAATCCTTAAATTTATAATAAACAGTTTGTAACAGTCTCATTAATCATAAAAGAGGGTTGCTTTTATGCTCTAAAGTAGATCATAACACATAGCTCCTCAACAGAAGTCAGTCCGTTAGATAAATCCTGTAAATGTGGAAAGAAACAATCACACGGCAATCCATAACCGCTCTCATTTACTTGGGCACAATCAATTTATTTCACATTCCTGATGAGAAAGCTTGTCTAGGAAGAACACAGCTAACTTTTGTACACTTAACTTCTGAAAGGCTAAACATTTCCAGAAACTGTGGAATTACTGCATTCTCCCATTATTAACAAACAGCAAAACCCATGTGAAGTTCTGGATGCCTAAGCCTTGAACGTTAAATATCAAAACACCATCTAGTTGTTCACATTTTAATCATCAGCTTACTACTGAGAGAGCAGAAGAGTAAAGAAAAGCAGGTAGTCTTTTCTCATTTATATCCAAGAACTATATTTGCATTGGCTTCTCACTAATTTTTACCTCCTGTTCTTGTGTTGTAGTAATATGTATAGCCTTCAGGAGAAAATCCTTGCACCCACTCCTTCATTTCAATTTTTGGTGGCTTTGAGGTGTCCTGAGGTGTCTTTTTTTTCTTTTCCTTCTTTTCTTTCTTCTCCTTCTTCTCTTTCTTTTCTTTTTTTCCTTTAGTTTCCACTGTGTTACTCTGTGTTTTACTCTGTGTCGAACTGGGACCTACATCATCTTAAAGAAAATAATACTCTCTTTCAAAAAAAGAGTAATAATCTGAGCTTAAATATTAGTCCCTCTTGAGCAACAGCAAATAGGAAATTTTGTTCTTATGAGTACTTTCACTCATTAGTATTACACTCGTAGCAGGTAAACGTAAAAGATTATAGTCAAAGAATCTTGCATTGTAGCAATACTATAGTGTCATAAGAAAGTCCAAATATCAAAAGATGAGTAACATAAAGAGAAAAACACTAAGGCCCAATGAGCTCTAACTAAACAACAATAAAAAAGAAACTAAAAGAGTTATGAAAAAGATAGCTTCTACAGGAGCTTGAAACTACAAACTTTTTTTAAAGGATAATACGTCTTCACATGGACAGAACAAAGGTACTTGCTGAACTGCAAGCTGAGTAGGAGCTTCTCATCTCCACTGTTTGACACCAGTGGGAACGCAACCTCTCCTACTCAGTAGGAACTTTTGTCTCCAACTGGCAAAAATGAAACATAAAATTAACTAAGGGAGGCGGCACTGCTCATTCAAAGCACCAACTACAGCCTATTTTTTGTTATCACATTGTTTAATTTTTCTACTCCAAATCGGATTGTTCCATGGACCAGAGGACACCGTAGCTAAAACCAACTTCTACTACTGGCAATTTCCAGATTCCTTTTTTTTTTTTTTCTTTTTTAAATGAGCAAACACAGTCCTGCAGGCCTCCTCTCATGTTCCTAAAACCTAATTTAAGAAAAAACATTCCTATTCAATATTCTTTCAATTCTGTTTTTAATCCTTTGGCAGCTATATGAACTACCTGGCTTAATTCCAAGCCTTTTCAAATCCTCTTGATATGCTTTCATTGCAGCCTCCTCCATTGCTGCAAATTCTTTTGACATGTTTTCTTCTTCTTTTGCTTTTTCCAAGCTTTTCTTTTTAATCTAAAACAAAACAAAAAACCCAAGAGAATAAATTAAACAAGTGTGATAATGAAAGAGATTAACTATTCGTGAAAATAAGATATTTGAGTTACCTCACTAATTCTTTTTGCCACATTTTCTTTATGATTCTTTCCTCTTTCATGAAACTCAATGCTCTTAAAAGTGAGAAAAAACAAGAAAAATAATACGTATTATACAATTTTAATTTAGTTCATTTTAGTTAGTTAAAATTTAGTTAGACTAAACTTAGTTGAACAAGCTTAAATGTAACCTGTTCTGAAAACACAGCAAACACTATAGCTGTAAAATGGCTATAGGAATTCAGGAATGCTGAGAAACACTCAACATAGAAATTATGAAAAATCATAACACTCAGTAACACTCCAGAATGGTATCATAAAATTTCACAGTCTGTATTTGTAAGATTTAAAAGTTTTCAAATAATACTGTTCAGCACACAGATTAGAGACAAGTAACAGGGAATCTGGGCGCCCTCTCCATGCTATCCTTCCAAGTATCATCCCTTGATTTTTTTTTTTTACCCTCTCTGTTTTCATGCAAACTGAACTTTTAAAAACCATATGGCTTATTTAGAGTTCCAAATATTAGCTATGGTACTTAATTAGATTATGCTATGCTCCACAAATATCCCATCAATTTAAACTAGTCTGCAGGTCCACAAATCTGAGAGAGAGAGAGGAAAAGGCAAGGTGGGAGAGTTGGGTAACTAAGGTCAACAGAACAGTCTGCAAGCCAAAAAGCTGCCAGAAAGACTGAAGCCAATACGAACTGGAAACAGTTCAGAAGCTCTACAGGTACGACAATGGAAGTCCTCATGTGGTTCTCACAAAAAATATCTGAGCTCATTTATGTGTTCAAATGTCAGATGCCTAAGCCTGACCTCATAACCCTACAATTTCTTTGCGCAAACCAATGTGCAGAGGATGCACATCCAGGGGATGATTCATCTCATTTAAAGACAGACTAGAAGTTACACAAATCCCCCCCTTTAACGTGTATTTCTTTTTACCGACTACAAGAAGAAACCTAAACCAATTAGCTCACACTTGTCATTCTGAACTGCAGAATGACAGTGTAACCCAGATGAAGCTCAGCTCCAGGAGTACCCCTGGCATCCAGTCAGGAATGCAAAACTTATTTCTAAGTGAGAAAGCAATGGGTCTAGTAGTCTGCAAAAGGCATCTGCAAGTCAGAAACACCTTTCTGTAACCCAGTAACGCTTCTGTGGGCTGTGCGAAATGAAAGAAACCTGCTTTAAATGCTTAGAGCACTGGCTGTACCGGGCCTACCAGATACAAACAGCATGTATGCCAGGTTTTGCTTTCCACTTGCATACGAAGGCTAGGAACAGGCGTGGACAAAGTTTCAAGACAGATCAAATGTTAAGTTACAGAAGCTGAAGAAAAAGCAGGGTCAGGTATTTCAGTTCTTATCTGTATTGCCAAGTAGAACAGCACACACCATCTTGTATGCAGTATCTGGCTCTCATGTGATGTATTTTAAATATTACAATTATTACAAAGGCACTTTTAAAGCACATTTCATGCATCAAGAGATTAGTATCGAAAGTGGTGTAAAAGCCTGTAATTCAAATTCCTAGTATTTCAGAATCATTGATATAGTATGGTAGACCATCGTACAGGTCTGTTGTCTGCTATCCAGCACTTGCAGTAATCGCAGAATTTTTTTGGCTGAGATTTCCAGTAATCGGCCCTGGGGAGAGAAAAAAAAAAGATGTATAATCTGAAACAGTAATCAAAGCCATAGGTTTTTTTATATATATAGCTTCAGAAACTAAATTTAGTCTTCTTTGGGTGATCGAGTGCTAAAAGTTTTTGGGTTTGGTGGTGGTTCCCCCCCCCCCAAAAAAGTATGGGGAGCAAGCTAGAGTCGCTATATTGACTACTGTGTCCCATAAAGCACAGTTCAGTATTGGGATTGTGCCCATCTGACCCCTGAAGACTGCAAAATTTTTACAACAGAGGTGATGCTGTAAGAACCAGAAATACAAGACAAAGCAAACCAGAGATAAACAAGCAGCTCTAGATACCCTAATTAAACACAGAACTGACAGAAAAGTGCAACTTGTACTATTTTTCATAAAAATGCATACAATAAATGTTTCTAAGTGTAAAACCTCAGATTTAATGTCAAAGTCTACTTTGGATACTGTACACAGTGAGCTCAGCAACACAAAGCTGCAGTTCTGGACAACGTGAGCTACTGCAGGGAATCCTAGAACAGATTCTGACCTGTGGGGTCACAGACACAGCAGTAAATTGTTTGGATGTTTCAGTGTAAAAATGTATTTCTGAACCATGCAATTTAGGTAAGTTGCATATGTGTGAGGAAACTTGGGGAAAACTCTTCAGAGCTCAAAAATTAGTACATAGAAGTATTTAAAAATAAAACAAACAACCCCTCCAATGGCTGTTTCTTCACCAAAAACCGCTTTCTAATGCCAGGTGAGGTTTGTGCAGAAATAATTCCATTTCTCATTGGCTTGCAGCAACAGATGCAATACTTTGGTTCAACAGAACACATTTCAGCAACAGACTTCTATGTTTTTAAGTTAAAATGAAAAAGAATGAGGGGTGAAAACAAAACCAATTCAAGATTACACTGAGAACATTAAAAAACATCAGTCCAAAAAAAGAATCTTTGCCTTCCGTCTGAAGATCCATATACAGAGTTCAAGGAAAATACTTCCTGACATTTTTATTCAATAAAACCAAAACTTCTTCCATGCATAATGATAGCACCCTCAAACCTTATGATACGTGCGAGCAGATCTTTCATAATAGAAACAGACCTGATCGACTCAATTCTTAAAATTTAAGCAGATGTCAAAATATGCTCTCCTACCAGTGCTTAACGTAAAAATACAATTTCTAAGAGGCTATGATTATTTAAAAGTGTAAGTACAAAGGATATGCTCTGCAAAAATATATCAACCTATAACCTGTGTTAGCAACGTGCAGTTTTCAAGCAATTTTTTGGAAAGCTAAAAGAAGCAGCTGGGCTCCCCCGATTGAAACAGAAATACGCTCATCCCTAAATGGTGCACTTTAAAACTGGGTGATTACTTAGTCACACATTTGATTAAAAGGTTTTTGAGATTTATATATCAAAAAGTACTAGGGCCAGAGCTTGGGGAATCGAACACTCTGGCTGGAAAACCAGTTGAGCAGAAGGGAGAAATTCAGAGCTCAGAAACACCTCAAGGCCCTTTTTCCTATTTGAGCTACAGCTCCTAAATTGTCTCTAAATCCTTCGACATCATCTAAGATAAATTTCCAGCTAAAAGCTGGGTTAACCTTCCTAAGGCAATGGAAGAAGTCTGACAGAAAACACATAAATTGTAAAAGAGCCTTACTGCATGTTTCGGAGGTGCAAGAACATCTGCGTATTTCCAGGTTTAACCTAACGGGGCTGGCTCTTTGTCTTCAACAGAATCAAGTGTAAGTGCTAAAATTAAGACTGTACAGGTGCACCCACCAAAAGCGGGAGTGTGACGAGCTGTATTTTCACAGCTATATTTTCCACCGATTTCTTTCCTAAATGCTACTGGACATCACATCTGTTGCAAACCACTGTAGCCACACATACAGTAATCGTTCTGGAGAACCTGAGGGCACACCTGGAGCTTAAGTACAAATCCAGGTCTTGATGACAGAAGCCTTTTGTCTTCATTTCCTATTGGTTTTGATAAAAATTGGAGCTGGCTCTCTGTTGTTACATATAAAATAAATGTAAATGATACTCTGTGCAGAAGACCTGATATCCTGGGAACCTTAAATCCCGCATTTCATGAATGAAGTTAATTGTGTAAATTATTCTCCCAATTCTGTGACTCATGAGCATGAGGAGTGTTACATGCCGAGCAATTCTCTTAAAGATTTTCCACTTGAGCTCATATCACTCAAAAAAGAGAGCAAGCTCTGCTGAAATATCCACTGAATAACATCTGCCATTGTAACAACAATGGAGCCTGCAAAGCACCGACTGCTGCAATGAGAGCAAACTGAAGAGGAGTGTTTGGAAAGGAGCAGCAAACCGAAGCGAGACCCCACTTCAGTGAGATGCTGCAAGTGCTTCACAGGCTCTGGTCACAAGCCTGAAAGTTAATTCAGATTGATGCCAATGTTTAAACATGTGGTTATTTTATTAATCTGCCAAATACAGGCTTGAGAGCAGATGCTGTTGAAGCGGTACAGAGGTCTTTTAAACTTGAATAATTGTGTACAAATCAAGGGAAACATAGTTATTGTAAAAAGTCATTGCAGTCGAAACGGTATAGCTTTTAAGACTCCTCATCTTCTGCCTGCACTTACATCAGTAAAGTTAAGGTTTATTCTTGTTTTCAGCTTTACTGCTGGGCCAACCTACTAAGGACCAGAAAGCGGACCAGCTAGCCATCACCACCACAACAATCTTTCTTCCTTTCACTAAAATGAAGAGACAGTCCAGAGTGCATCAAGTCTGGCTTGTCCAGGATTGCAGTGTTGAGGTTCAGCACTGTACACATTTACCCAGGTGTGGCTACCCAAACGGGAGCTTGGTGACACAGATCCCGAGAAGTGTGCAAGTTTTACTGCGAAGCGTTACCTCCCAGGAAGGTTTGACAAAGTCTGCTCGGAGCCCGATTTTCCAGAGCTGGCTGAGCAAGTCAGCTTAGCAATCTGCTACTGGGCACACGGAGAACAGAGCGGCGCTGATACAGATGGGCAACTTCCGGACAAACTGCTGTAAGCTTTCAGCCAGAGTTGGAAATCCTGTACTAACTTGCAAGAAATTTGTGTCTCCTAAAGAACAGTGATTTTCTTTCAACTTTTACTGGTCAAACCACTCAGGGGCAGAATGTACAACAGCTGTGACAGCTAAAGGGGAAGGAGGGAAAAAGAGTGAGTGAACATCAAACTGTTTTCTTGAAACTTTAATGCAATAACAAACTCTTTGCTGCAAACACCTGTAGAGTGCAAACAGCGTCAATGTTAAAACCATTTTCAGATTTCTGAAATTCAATTAAAACTTCAGAGGGAGTGAGAAGATGGGGAAGAACAAGTAGCAACTCTGCATGAACAGCACCTGCCACATTCGCCATTTCAAAAGATATGAAAATACTTAAACTCAGAGAGAAAACTCTGAAACTTGGGTATTTTTACTTTGTATAATTCATTTCTTGAGCCATGAGTATCACACAGCCTAGGCTGCAATGACTGGGTTACGCACTCCTACTGCACGTGAACCACGTGTCTGGGAGCACACAAAAGGGACAGGTTCTGTTGACAATATTCAAAAAGCAACCCGCACAGTAACTCCAGCAGTACCAGGGTCCAGGGTCCCGAACCGCCAACCTGCGAGTTGCTTCTCCTAACAACTTACAGTATTATTAATGTTTTAACAGGTGGTGCAGTCAGCCTTCCGTACATAGGGAAGCTTAAGAAACCCTCATAAAGAAGCTATCTTCAGCTGAGACAGCTTTGCCAAACTTTACTTTGAGACTGGGCTGGAGGGTTTGGTTCCTACCACATACTGGCTGAAATTAAAAGATGGGGGTGGGGGAGAAGAAACAACTGTTTCAGGTGGTTCTGAATACAAGAAAAAGAAATAATTTGGCTGTGCAAACAAAACCTGGAAGCACTTGCTTTGAATAGCTCTGCTCTAAAACATCAGACTTGAAATTTGGCAGGGATATAGGGGGGTTTGTATCAGGGATATATCTGTCCAAATTATAAGCCTTTAGCCTAAAAAACATACACATGCTCAGCAGTCTTCTTTGGTTTAATATGTACAACCTCTGAAGACTTTACACAAAGTTAGTATCTTCCAGCTTTCTGCAGGTTTGAGCACTGAACAGCTTGTGCATACGTCACCTTCTTGAATACAGGTGTGCGAAGTAAGAAATACACAGATTCAAGTTATTGACTACACAAGGAAATGAATTCAAGATCAGCTATTGTGGTTGTTCTGTAACAGCCACTCAACAGGACACAGTATTCAGAAATAGTAATAAATTCTATTTGGGAATACTGTGTACTTCTAAAATTAATACTTCTGTAATGGAAGGAATTAGAAAGAACGAAAGAAAAAAATCACATATATTTCACAATAGACCCTCCACACAGGAAGCCATTCCAGAACAGGCAATTCTGATTCAAATATCCCAGTATTGGTAAGACCTAAGAATGCAACGCTAAAATCGGCAGGGAAGGAGGCAAGAAAGGAAAGGGTTTTCATGAACCGAGAAGTAGGTCCCAGTGCCATGGCCCTAACGACCCACGCTTCCAAATTCACAGCAACTCCATTCATTCATAGTGCACAAATCCTACTCTAAAAACTCTGCTTAAATATGTACCCTTAATTTTTATTTTTAAAAAAAAAGGTATTGAAAAATAAGGCCTCGAGAAAAAAGCATCCCTGACACATCTAGTATATGGGGCTGTCCTTCTACCTAACCTTACTTGTTGATCTTCTAATATATCACAGAATATACATCTATACGTGGGCTCCTACAGAGTAGTACTGGATTAAAGTTTCATCTACATGGAACAGGGCAGTTCTGTGAAAAGTTTCGTTCTTCTGGCCTCCAATTTGATTGTATTTTTGGCAATCCTTCTAGAAATTCCAATTTACAACCCAAGTGGCTGCTTTTTTTTACTACTATATTAGCCCCCTCTGAACAACATACAAATCATAATGTGCTGCAAGACAGCAGAATCTGCACAAGCTGCTTAGTCTGACCTGAAGATTATTTGCATGGATCTGCTTTGCCAGATCTCTTTTCTAAATTGTAAATTATGTAACTTGAAGGGTAACGCTACAAATATTTTTAACAATATACAAGAATGCACAAGAATATGAGGGCAGGCAGCCTTCTGCATGTATGGCGCTTCAACGGACCTCATCTCCCCTAACTTCAGTTGTCTAAAAAGTGAGATACCTAGTTGTCTAAGTTCTGCATGTCAATAGACGGAGACTCCAAAACGCCACTCTCCCCATCCTAAATAGGCATCTTCTATCCTAAACAGGCATCTGAGAAGCAAATTGAACTCCATGGGTATGTGTTTCTTCCTTATACAGGGAACCTAAAGTGAACTGCCTGAGTCAGCCTTCAAAAGCTAAGTATCTGAAACCAGGGATATCTACTGAGAACAGAGGTCTGCTGCTGTAGATGCAGAAGAAGGATATGGGCTATGTCAGGAAGAATGTGATAAGAATTAGAAGAGAGAGGAAAAAAACAGCAACATAAATTGGGTCAAGAAACTGTTCAGGTATAATTTTAGCAATAACTAAAATTAAGAACACTGCTGTATGTCGTATCAGTCTGCAAGACAGGCTCACACAACCTAACCATCAAATACTTCCCCAAAGAAGGAACCCTAAAGAAATTTTTGATCAGGTTAAGATTTTTTGCAGCAGGGAAGTTAGGATATCTTGAAAAGTAACAGAAACGAAAAAATGCCATTCATATGACATTCTCACTTAATATTAAGACCAAAGCTGGGATTTTTACCCCCCGCAAACGTAGTCAGGTATTAACACAAATTTTCTAATTAAACATTTAAAAGAGGTAGCGATGGCCAGCAAAAGCAAGGCACAGAGGCTTTCTTCCAAACGCTTCACCCAGAACCAGCGGCGCCAGAGCAGGCCTCGGTCCGAGGGGGCAGGGGGGACGGAGGGACAGACGCCCTCCCCCGCAGCGCTCACCGCCCCGCGCTGCAGGACGTAAAGTGCCCCGCGGGCGGGAGGCGAAGCTGCCCGGCGTGTCTGGGGGAGATAAGGGGCCGACAACGCTGCACAAACAAACAACCGGGAGGGGGGGAAGGTCGGACGGGAGCAGAGGGACCGGAGCGAGAGAGAAATAA